AGTGTTGTCCATGTCCGTCCCGTCCCGTCTCGTCCTGTCGCGTCCCGTCCCGTCCCGTCCCGATTCAATGTAAACACCCGTCGCGTCCCGTCCCCATTCAATGTAAACACTCAGCAACTTCATTCTTTGACAGATTATGGTCAAAGTTTATTCAAAGGTCAAGCATGATGAGTATACTTCGGACATTGTTGTGTTTCAGGGATCCAAGGTCATGGCCAAGGTCACTGTTGCTATACATAGAAAGTCATCAACTAATTCAATTTAAACACTTAGCAACTTCATTCTTTCACGGATTTTGGTCAAACTTTATAAAGGTCAAATATGGGTATACCTCTAACATCCTTGTGTTTCAGGCTGGTATATTAAAATCAACTTATCAACTTTAAGTGTAGTACCTTGTGTGTGTGCATGTTTCAGGGTATCAAGATCAAAGTGGTTATAACTTTTTATAGAACACTGAATTCATGGTAGCGAGGGCATTTATGTCTTACAGACATTTTCTAGTTTATATTACATACAACAGTGTTATTTATACAATGTGATATTTGTATACCACAATATCCTTTGTTGTTATTTGTACATGATGTAAAAGTTTAATATTGTTGTATAGTGTGATATTTGTTATACCACAATATATATAGTATGTTGTTTTCTGTATATAATGACAAAGTTTATTATTGCTATATAGTGTGATATGTTTTATATCACAATATGGTATGTTGTTATCTGTTCATAATGTAAAAGTTTATTATTGTTGTATAGTGTGATTTTGTTTTTATATCACAACATAGTATGTTATTTGTACATGATGTAGAAATGTATTGCTGTTATGTAAAGTATGTGAAACTTTGTTATTGTTGTTCATTGTGATATTTTTGCTATGACACAGTAAAGTACATTGTTTGTTATAATGTTTTCCATACACAATGTGCAATTTGTTTTATATTGGTTATTACATTTGAAGTGATTCTATTGGTTGGTAGTGCCTACTGTATTATATTTGTATACAAAAAGTGCTATATTGTATGTTGTAAATTGTATGTATGACTTTTTGGAATTTAGAATTATTATTGTTACAAATATAAGAGTTGTTTCTCTTTTTTGTTTAGTCTTTTTGTATCTATATTTATTTTTTGTAGAATAATTAAATCCGCAAGATATTTATTTTTTGTCACCTATATGTTCTTTTCGTTGTCCTAAACGTTTTGCGTTGGCACTCGGAATTTTATTGATTCATGTAATGGGCATTTTTATTTGTTTTAGTAATATTGTTAGAAATTACTCATTTATTTTGTGTTTTGTTAATCAATATTGACATTGTTATTAGTCTTTATGTGTTATATTTCTAATAAACCATTGTTGCATCAAATAATATATATTTTGTCTCATTTTGTTCAATTGTTGAAAAAAAATCGAAATTTTATAATTCCCCAAAAATCTGAAGAAATTTCCGCAGGGTATGGGTTATTATTCAGAAATGATTTGCTTATGCAATAGCGATGCCGTAGGAAAAAACACCAATGCCTCATTACATTTTTAGGCGGAGGGACGGGGATTCTTAAACTTGCATGTAAATGTATTATGACACTGCCAACTCCACCCCGACACCTGTTTTGCATCTTTGCGACTATGTGGACAGTTTGAGAGACTTCTGTAAATTTCACCATTATAATTAGTACTGGTTGCTTATATGTTGTTAAGAAAAAAATGTTGAATATCAAATTTGAAATAAATGCAATTTCTAAGTGATTGATGATTCCCATTATCATTTTGGAATAAAGTACGATATTATTGCACCCATAACTAAGGCAACCAAATTGCCCCAAACAACTTTATTGCTACTAGGAATCTTTTCTTTCTATCAATACACCAACGTATGCGGTACAAAAACTTAGTTTAACTTTCTCATTGCAATTTTACTTTGTAAAATCTATATAATCAACATACGCTTTTTTATAATGACAACTTTTACTCTCGACTCTTTAATGTTGGAAAATAATTACACCCACATAAAATGTTAATTAACTCTTAAATACACGGCTAGTTCCAAGATAAACATGCCTCTTTTCTATTTTAATTGTACAAATGGGTTTAGGGAGAATGGTTGAAGGGTCATTTATCGATCTAAACTATTTGTTAAGAATTGTGTTCTCTAGTTGTGCGTCAATAAACTGGGACTGACCACGCAGTGGGCGCCTTTGACCTAATTGTTTAATTGACGTATGCTCTTACTGCTGTGGGCGACACGGAGCGGTATATTAGATAGAAGACGGTTCAACACAAAGTCATAAGTCTTCTGTTCCTAACCTTACTCCTAGGTAAGTACATAACATTTCTCTTAATATACATATGCATTTTTTATGTTATTTTTTTTTCTCTCGGAATATTACTACTTTATGATTCATTTATAAATTTATAACAGAGGTTATAAATATACCTGTACAAAGCACACATGAGTTTCAACTCTCATCTCATGAATTCCAATATTCATATTCTCCGTCTGTCTTTCATTGCCTCAGACATGCGTTAACATTTCTATAAATAAGACATCAACAGACAACATATGGATAAGAAAGCCAACTAAAATACAGATGGATGAAAAAAATGAAAAACACCACACACATTTCTCACTTGGAGAAGTATCTATTTGGTGTACGTTTGATGAAGTAAGGACATACAAGAGAACGAGAAATAGAAATGTCGAGAAGTAAAGACTTTATATGTTAGTACACAAGTAAAGAGGCAGGTTTACCTGCCTGTTAACAATAGGTACATTCACGTAGAAATCATATATATACTGAAACGTGTGCAAGTTCCTTTATCTGTTGGGGGGGAAAAAAGAACAAAAAGGTGGACAGCATTTACTGATTTGAAGAGTTGAAAGTAAAGACTAAAGACTTTAGACACATATTTAAAACAATATATAGTACAAAAAAATATTAGGATTTTAACTAAAGAATAAACTCATTCTTTATAGATGTTATGTAAGGATTGTAATATGACTTGATCCATGATGATGATGATAATGATGAGATGTATCAAGAACATTGTTTGATTTCTTAATTATACATTTTGGAATAACCGAAATACATGCGCCCCCTGCTGACTTTCACATTTTCTCCCGGTGACTGCTTATTGCCACGTTTGCTTTTTCTCAACGAAACGAAAAGCGACATTTGCTTTCGCTTAACGGCAACACAAAAGTGCCGTTTTAAATTTGTTCTACGGCGCTTTGTTTCTTTTTCATGTTTCACGGATCGGTTAAAACGCCATTTTATTTTACAAAACGGCGCAGTTTCGCAGCGACAAAACGAAAAAAAAACGCCATTCTATTTTGTTCATATAGCTCTTTTGCTGCTGTGCATAACATAGGTCCTTGTTAAGTATTTAATCAGAATCGGTAAATGAAGGCTCTGTAATCACATAAAAAATACAGAATGAAAACAGTATGCCATTTCTTGCATGATTAACCCGTCTTTTTAGAAGAAAGTCCTTTTAAAATAATTCATTCACAAGCCATCTTCCAACCTGGTCTTTAGTTAAAATCTATTCTCGACGTTTGAATGATTTATTTTGAGCTAGCCCGTATTGACTCTGGAAGCGAATCAACATTGTTCATAAGAACGTCATGTTACAGAAATAATCATTTTCTTTTTCAAAATTTGAAGTTATCGTCTTCGAACATTAACATGTCAATAACAAAAATTAATTAGTAAAAGAGAAACAAAACCGTCGAATAAACTCAAAATCGACGACAACAGGGGAAATATATAAGTAAAACACTGATTTATACAGAGACATTTGTCTGCAAGGGGAATAAGACGCCTCGGAAGAGTAAGTCTGCAACAGCCACAGTGTAAATAGATGTAAAAATATAGTTGGGTCACGCCTTCAGTGTAAGAACTAAAGTAGTGTAAATGTACATGTTACGCTAAGGAACGTTATCAAACAGGTCGAAATTCATACTGAACAAGGGAACAGAATAATTCCGAATAAGATAAACAATGTTTGTGCTCCTTGTCAACTGCATCCACTGATATCGTCGTGTGTTGCTACGTTTTTCTGGTATAAATTCGATACCGTTCCAGGAAATATTGGTGTTCCGAGCAATCCCGTGGACATCAAATCGACTGTAACATGTTGATACCGTAGGACGGAAAATGATTACGAGAGACAAATAAAAATTGTAACGTTTAACATACAACTTAATAGTAGGCCGGCTCTATTGGATGTACCCAACCATGCACAATTGGTTGTAGTGTGTCTGTATTATAAGAGTGTATATAACATGCTGTATAATGATTGAATCCGAAATATGTGGCTGTAACCAGACAACTTTATATGATAACCGAATAAGATACACCAGATATAGAAGTTGTCTAGCATTCTGTGTGTTCTTTAACATTTAACTAGGTACAAAATTACAAAACGTCCTTCATATCAAAGTACAGACCTAGTACCGAGATTTGTTTTGCCTTAAGGATCTCGGAAAAAAGTACCCTAAAATAATGGTCACTAGTAATAGTCTTGTTTCTTTCATTTCAGATCTGAAACTATTTCTCCGGGTACAATGCTGTCGCACAAGTTGTCACTCGTAGTCCTTGCATGGCTAAGTGTTTCCTTCGTTGTCGTGAACTCGAACCAACGCTCCAATGATGAATGTGTATCTATTACAGCAAGCGTCCACGATGAATGGTGCGATATGAACTGCCATCACAATCCGCGATATTGCCCAACTAACTTGTGTAAATGTTCTCCCGTCTCTACCACACCACCCCCCGCCACAGCTCCAAATCTACCTAAAGGTCGTAAATGTGTAGCTGTTTCTCAAAGCACCGTTGACTCGTGGTGTGAACTAAACTGCAAAAACGATCCAACATTTTGTCCAGGATATTTGTGTAAATGTACTGATATACCCACTACCACAACTACACCTACCACTACCACTACCACTACTACAACTACAACAACTACACCTTCCACTACTACAAACCCTACCACCACCTTAGAAACGTAAGTGTGCATACAGCCTGACAAAATAATGTATCATGGATATCGTCTTCGTTTGCTCTTTCGAAATTTGACTATATTCGGACTCGTTATGCGTGTGTGAACACGGATGGAGCCTTCTCCATCACATAAATGTGGCCCACCTGCTATGTTGCCGTGACAGTGTGTCAAAAGCTCACTTCTATAATAATTCGTACAGATGTAATAATATTATTTCAGGGCTGCAACGATATAAAGTGTGACGTTATATCGCGATATTTTGAAAACGGTAAGATCCACAATATTTTTGGGAGGTCACGATACACATACGATGTATTCCGGATTTTGACGTTTCTTAATTTAGTCTACTCATATCCGTCACATGGCGAGTGAGAGCTCCATCTGGGCATTCAAGTCGAAAGATGTGAATTGTGTGAAACGTTAAAGTCACGCCCTTTTTTTACCAAGTATATTTCCTGTTGTAATATTGATAATAATAATGATATTTATTCAGGTAAAAGGCAAACATTACACGAATAAATCATTGTGCATAAATATATATATATATTACCACCGATGATATTTTTGCCTTTACAAATTTGCAACATATCTTTTCTCTTTGCTACTACAGTAAATATATGTATCGTGATACGTATCGTACCGTGACCACAGTATCGTGATACGCATCGTATCGTCATGATTATGTATCGTTGCAGCCCTAAATATTAACATCAAAAAGCATTTTCCGTTTTCCGTTTCCGTATTTTGCTTTCTACAACTAATTTATTCAAATAAACCTAGGATGAGAAAAAACCCCAGGACAATATACACAGGATTAAACTTCAAATGCTCATATAGCACTTACTACGAAATCAGGAGAATGTTAAAATCACTAACAAGAAATTTTCATTCTAAATTGTGCTGTTTTCGACGTCAACATCTGAAGTGTTTTTGATGTGGTAGATACACTGTTATGTACTGGGTGGGTATTTTAAGTCTCATGATCAAGGTGTACTTCGAATCAACAAAAGTGATAAATAACCTCATTAAGATATACGGTCAAGCTAACTGTTGTCAAATAAAGAGAATGATCATTTTGTAACTCGCTGTCAATGGTACAACCTTTCCATGTAGTCGATAATGGGATATGGTCATACTCTCGTTTCAGAGGCGTGAACTTTCTGTGTGTCATTTGCAGACAAAACACTAGATAATTCAGTCGTAGTTTTTCTTACATATCCTGACCAGTCTTTTACTTAGGTTTTTGTATAAATGTAGTGTTAATGGACTATTATGTATACCATGGCTATGAAGCACGGTGGGTTAGAACTAAATGTCCAGGGTTCGAATATTTCTAAATGAATAAAACAACTATTGTACATACGTTTCCAGCGTAGCCGAAATCGACATCGATTTTATGGACAACTCGTACACATTTTACACTTTTGTGAGCATACGATTCATTGGTCATTTGTCTGATGAAGGTGACAGTGTACATATCGTACTAGCCATCGCAACGTCACATAGAAAATTGTATTGGTTGTGTAAAAAAAACCAAAAAAAAAACAATAATCAACAGAGCTAAATGCTCAGGGTTAGAGTCTAGCTCAGTTGGTCAAAGCGAAATGCCCAGTGTTTGTGTCTAGCTCAGTTGGTCATGGCGAATTGTCCAGGGTTCGAGTCTAGCTCAGTTGGTCAAAGCGAAATGTCCAGGGTTCGAGTCTAGCTCAGTTGGTCAGAGCGAATTGTACAGGGTACGAGTCTAGCTCAGTTGGTCAAAGCGAAATGTCCAGGGTTCGTGTCTAGCTTAGTTGGTCATGGCGAATTATCCAGGGTTCCAGTCTTGCTCAGTTGGTCAAAGCGAAATGTCCAGGGTTCGAGTCTAGCTCAGTTGGTCAGAGCGAATTGTACAGGGTACGAGTCTAGCTTAGTTGGTCAGAGCGAAATGTTCAGGATTCGAGACTTGGTCTGAAACCATTGTAATTTTACACTGAAAACATTGTTGCGGATTGTTTCATATCTTATTTATGATATTCTTTTTTTCACCTCATATGGTTATCTTTTCAGATTTGGATTTTCACTGAAAAATACTACGACAGAGGTGGGAGATATAAGCGACCTGCTTGTCAATTGAAGCCGTATGATTGCTTGAAACATCAAATCATCTAGCAAACAAGATGTGCAAGCTTCAACCACCACCTCCACCACCACCACCACCACCACCACCACCACCACACCATTGACACAATATTTAGAAACTTTCTGATATTTTCAAATATATGTTAAAATTATAGATAATGAAATAAGGCGATATATCAGGTCGCTGACAAAATTGAATGTTTTTAAAAATACTACTGACCTATCCCTGAATACATACAATCTATCTTGTTTTACAAGAGACTCAAAGGACTTGCTTAAAGTTTAAAATATTTCGTTTACCTATGACTTGTAAGCGGACTTGCTTAAAGTTTAAAATATTTCGTTTACGTATGACTTGTTAGTGGACTTGCTTAAAGTTTAAAATAGTTCGTTTACGTATGACTTGTTAGTGGACTTGCTTAAAGTTTAAAATAATTCGTTTTGTATGACTTGTAAGCGGACTTGCTTAAAGTTTAAAATATTTCGTTTTCGTATGACTTGTTAGTGGACTTGCTTAAAAGTTAAAATATTTCGTTTTCGTATGACTTGTAAGCGGACTCCTGGCTAGTAGTATAATGAAGCCCAAGTACATAATTATAGCTATTTTTATTTATTTTTAATTTAAAAAATTGATACAATTCATAAGAAAAAAAGGAAATACAGCAAAATGTCCCCCCTATTTGCCTTACGGGCTTGGTGATATATGTTTCAAGTGATAATTGATTATTGCTGATAGGTGAGACATCGGCTACAAATTTGTTTGATTTTTGTGAATGTTAAATGTTTTTAAAAATGAGAATTGAAATTTCTATCGGTTTTTTTTCATGCCAGGAAAAGCAAGTCGCGCTTTCCCAAGTGTAATTGTGTGCTGTTTGTGTTTAACGAATAAAAAAACCTGAAGTGCAATATTTTCAGCCTTATAAATTATCTTCTCGTAACGATTGCGATAACGTTTAGCTTTTAAATCTAGTTTATACATAGTTCAAATTGAATTTAAACACTCTATTATAAGTGTTTACCTTAAGAGAGGTCATGTGCTGTGGTGTGTTAGTTCTGTCGAGACCGCTCACAACAGGCGAAACAAAAGTGCCTAAGTTCACGATATGATGACACTGTAACGGATCAATAAGGTCATAGAGGTTCACAGATGTAAGTGTGCGAAGAGGCAAACAATTGTTAAAAACAGTAAACACTGAAACGATTATGATTTAAAACGTTGCAATAGGTTCAGCAGGTGATATTTGATTTATTTAATGTTCCCTGCGAAGAGGACATGGAACAAAATCATGCTTCTAATTGAGTTGTATATTTAATTCTTTATTTCGTTAACGAGGAATACATAGAGTCCGGAGGCTACTAGATGCTTTCCTAGATGCCTGACTAATTAAGTTGTTAATTTAATTCTTCATTTCTTTAACGAGGAATGCATACAGTCCGGAGGCTACCAGATGCTTTGCTCAGATGCTTTCCTAGATGCCTGACTAATTGAGTTGTTAATTTAATTCTTCATTTCTTTAACGAGGAATACATACAGTCCGGAGGCTACTAGATGCTTTGCTCTGATGCTTTCCTACATGCTTGACTAATTTAGTTGTTAATTTAATTCTTTATTTCTTTAACGAGAAATACACACAGGCCGGAGGCTACCAGATGCTTTCCTCAGATGCTTTCCTAGATGCCTGACTAATTGAGTTGTTAATTTAATTCTTTATTTCTTTAACGAGGAATACATACAATTCGGAGGCTACCAGATGATTGCTCTGATGCTTACCTAGATGCCTGACTAATTGAGTTGTTAATTCAATTCTTTATTTCGTTAACGAGGAATACATACAGTCCGGAGGCTACTAGATGCTTTCCTCAGATGCTTTCCTAGATGCCTGACTAATTGAGTTGTTAATTTAATTCTTTATTTCTTTAACGAGGAATACATACAGTCCGGAGGCTACTAGATGCTTTCCTCAGATGCTTTCCTTGATGCCTGACTAATTGAGTTGTTAATTTAATTCTTTATTTCTTTAACGAGAAATATATACAGTCCGGAGGCTACCAGATGCTTTGCTCAGATGCTTGACTTATTTAGTTGTTACAAGTAGCATCAGATGACCAGATAGTTCAGTACAGTAGTACTTAAAGAAACCTCAAAAAAGGAAGAAAGTATTCTACGTTTACGCTTTTGATATTAAATTCCATCCCTGCACCCTTGGACTAGGTTTCGACCGCATTGTATTCCATGTATGTGTCACCTCTAGGATGACTTGTCTGGAAATTATAACGTTATCCTGTATCCATACAATTTTAGAGTTATGCTTTAATAAACGGTCAAATGAAATGCACGTTATCATAACGGTAAACTTGACGTGATTCTATATCGTAGTATATCTTTGGCAATTATCTAAAATGTTTATACAGGTTTTTTATCAGCCTTTCGATATGCCAGTTGTTTAAAAGTCTGAATCACATATTTAACTGCAAGCCTTTTTATTCTGACCTGACATGATCCGAGGGCAAAGAGTATAAATGTAATATCGAATGGAAACCGTTGGATCTATAGGGTCATACAAAAAGTCCTGCATTTGGATAAATCAGGTCAATGCATTCCACGAAAGATATGGACAAAAAGAAGAAATGATGTCATAGACATTAGTTTACAATAATTACAAGTTCCATCAACTTATAATAAAAAATACTGTTGTTAATCCAGGTAGGTCTTTAATGTCGGTGGAATATATTACTCTATGATATGCATGGCTAACCACTTATAACCTTGCGTTAACTGAGACCGAAGATACATGTATTGTAGATGGCTTAACTGTACAGAACTGTCCCGATGGGCAGATGACACGTGATCAGTCAACCTTGATACGGTCAGGTGTCAATTAATTCTAGTCATACCGGTGTAATTGATAATGACTCATTACCAAAGTGCACCTAAAACGTTGTGCACCTTGACGCTTTTGCTGACTTTCTTAAAGAAACAAATAACTCGCTCCGTTCCAATTTTCGAAATGAACGACGTGGCGTAATTTCCGATTTGCAAATACATGTGTGTTGTACTGTAGATTTGTTAGCTGGAGGAAATAAACAGAACAACTTCTGATGGTTTTCATAACAACCACGTATGACAATGTTCACGTGAAATACAGCAAACGTCTTCTGAGAGCATGATATGAGGAGCGTAACTTATGGCTACGAATGAATCGACAATATCAATTGACAGCCTATAAACCTCACCAAGTCTAATTACATGTTAAACACTGCATTGGAACTACGGGCTCAAATGGCTTCTCCAAGGAACAATTATAACGTTTCCGTTTTGTTAAGTGTAAAATTTGTTATTGACGTTTTTCGTAGCATACTTTATAAGACATGGAACTGATACTACCAAGGATGCAACCGAAATACAGTTTGTTTAAAACTTACGTTTTAGATAACTTTACTTTCAAAACAAGAATAATACCAAATATGCTTAGGTGTCCATAGCTTTCATTGCTAGATCATCCAGTTGATACTAAGATTGGATTTGAATTTCAAATCAAAGTGAACGTTTTTACTGGTTGTAGACTAAGATTAGTGCGTTTCATTCAATAATATCTGCAAAATAATGATTAACAACACCTTTTACCCCCCCCCCTTTTTCTGTTATCAAATAACAGCCTCATGGTTGTAGGAACATTGAAAATGCAACAAATCGTATATTTTATTATTTTCCCGTCAACTTACATATATATATTTCACAAATAGGCAGAATATAGATAGTCCTTTACGAGTGAGAAGCACGAGTGAAAATATCCGTATATTTTTCCATGTAAAACCATTAAATTTCCTATTCATTTCATTTGTTTATCTAACCAGACGAGAACATTGCTACATCAACAAGGTGTTTGAATTAGTAGCGTAATATTTGACGCCAAGCTTAAATTACGTCATGATTGACAACAAGGCTTTGCTACATTCTGAATGGGCTACCTCGATTAAGTCTTCCGTTCTCTCATTTTAAGGTAGGATTTGCTCCCAAAAGTGTTATCAGTTACGTATGTTCATAACATATAATACACAACCAACACTTATATTACCATCGATTTGTCTAACTGAACAAAAAAATATGGCTCTGAATGCAGTTAAAAGAAAATACCATTTTTGATTGATCAATATAAATTAGATACTAGACCTCATGTGAATATTTTATATTTTGTACATCTTACCTGAAGTTACGATATTAGTTTGTATCACAAAACAAATTTCTGATATTTAACTGACACAAATGCAGTAGATATATATTCACTCTTATGGCAGAGTATACCGACATTTACCTTCATGTTTTGCACCAGTGAAAAATAGAAGTATCCTGCCATACTCATGATATATATATACTAGTATATATATGCCATTCTACAGGTAACCATTAAACACTTTTGCGTATTTGTATCTACTTTATTTAATTATTTTTTTAATGACACTAACATTTTTGAAGTAGAATTATATGTGTTTATTACCTTTTGTTTTACCCTAGTTCGACAAGAGTAGCTAAAAATAAAGACGTACACTGAATAAACGGGATTGATTTATGGTAATGGCTGTGTTTCATTTACTTGTCTGGCTACATAACTACAACTTCCTAAACATATCTTAAGTTTATCCTAGCGACGTGCTCGCATAATGCGTTCTACTGGCACATTTATATGTTCATTTTATGCTGACACCCTCCTCAATAGATAATTTTCCGACGTCATAAAATGTTCCAGAATAAGAATACTATGAACGAGATCCTGCGTCCGATTGTTAAATTCAAGGTCAATGTCACCGTTAGTATTGCTGACTTTAAGATGTCTAAAAATGTAAACTTTATTTATCACAACAATTATGAAATAAGTTATTACAACTTACATTAGTCTTTCTTGTTGGCCCGGTTGTAATCGCACAGTTTGTTTTTTAAACGAGAGAAAACCGGAGTACTTGGAGAAAAAACAGCGTGATCGGGCAGGTGTTCCCTTATCTTTTTTCGTTCAAGCGAGGAATCGACCCCGGTCGCATTGACGAAAGTCGAGTGCATTATCCACTGCGCCAAACGACCTCCCTCGGGCCTGTTAGCTAAAAATATACCAACGGACATATAATTCGAATTTCAATAATATACAATTCAAAATAAAAACAAAAAGTATAATTTCTCCAGGATGCCATTGAATACAATTTCATCCACATGTCTATCGTCATGTTTAATGCACGAAGGTTGCTCAAATAAAATCACGGCGCCAGCAGTAAAAATGATAACGATGTCATTGACCTTGACTTTTGTACTCTGAAACACGACCTCGTCTTAGGTATTATCAAACTTATAGTATTCAGGTCTGTGAGGAGGCTTAACATATTCCATAATCTCTTTTTTTTTTATTTTAACCCCCTTTTTATTTTAATTATCTACACATACAATGCGAATGCTTTTAAAATGAACCTTTTTATCTACTTTTATCTTCGCTACTCACATGTTTGTTAAAAAAATTAAATAAATGAATAAATAAATCACCATGGCCCTAAATGACCACAGCCGTCGATGGGCCGTTAAACATAAACAAACAAACAAACAAACAAGGCTTAACCACTTTGGCGTCACAGTATAAGTGATACATCTGTTTGATAATCTTTCCGGAAGGTTCGTTATCGTTTAGCTTTTATTTTGTATGTACACCATAAATTATTAAATAAACTATAAATGTATACAAAGATATTAACTCTTTCAATTAACTGTAATTTAATAGTATTATCTGTCTGATCTTCTTTAAAGAAACAACAACAAATAAACACTTAAGGTTGAACATTCCGACTTTTCATGGAGTACCAGGCTTACAGGGCCATGTGTTTCGGAAGGGTAAGCGTGTTCTGCTTTTTTGACGATAACCGCCATGTAT